CCCCCTCCCCTTCCTCTTCTTTTTATGGACAGGTGAGGATGGATGAGTGAGTGACGGAATGTAATCTTTCGGCGGCCTTGAAAATTCCCCCTGCACACTCAGAGAAACATAGGCCCTTATACATTTTCACAGCAGTAGCACCGCTACAACGACACTGGCTGGCCATTTCGACCTTTTGTGCCATACCTCATTCATCGTCTCACTGAAGTGCCTGAAAAATTCCCGGAAAAAAACGAGACTTGATTCTGGTTCCTGACGTTTTCCAAATCACCTTATGGCGGTACTTCGTCGTATTTTTCTGCACCTTGACAATTAGCAGCCTGTTACTGTATTGCTTCAACCAGGCTTCACTTCTGTTCCTAAAGTCGAGATTCAGCAAGAAGTTTTCAAAGTTGAGACTTATTCGCAACTCTCCTGCGACCATTGTCCGTTGCATGAGAATTTTTGACGAACTTTGGCGAGGTCCTATAATCCAGAAATGTTTTACTGCACTCAAAGCAGCGCGTCTATATCGACGACAACTGTTTGGACGCCAGCTTTCATTGGCAGTAGCAGCAGCAGCAGCACAACAGGCAATCGAGATCTTGCAACATCCGGGATACGAGCTCAGTCGCTTCTTTCGATTGATGGCAGCGAAGTGGAATCCAAGAAGATGCAGCTACAGCGCCGTTTTCATTCCAGAAAGCAGCAGTTCATTGTTGCCGGACTCGGTTCGCCCGTTTCTTTGCAACATCCATTAATGCCATCTCTATTTGGGACTTATGGATTGGACAGAGGCCTAGATGAGAAAAAAAAATTTTGTTTCTTTTATTTTTGCAAGATTGAATGAGGACAAGGTCTGGGCACTGCTACAATCGAAACAGACACAAAGATGAGGACAAGGTTTGCGTCATAGAGGATAAATAAGGAACAAACTTGGAATCCTGAAACGAGTTAGTGTTCCTCTAATCGAAACAAGCCTGTCCTATTAGTTCTCTCGCATTCCTCATCTTACTCGGACAATTTTATTTCCCTTTGTACAGAGCAGTGGAAAAATTTCTGCTTTTTTAGTACAAAATTTTTCTCTTTGGACGTTGTGATTTGGAGGAGTGTAAGAATGATGTTTGTTCTGTGATACGTTTCTCCAAAACGTGCTGGAGAATCGTCTCATGCAAGGTGTTTGGATGTGAAAGTTCCTGACGCATAATACTTATTATTTATTTTGTGGTCTTTCGCGTCTTTTGGGCTTCTAATTTCCATGATTATTGCCATCAGTTTACTTCTAAAGCAATCCTCGAATGT